GAGAGTCAGGAAGTTGGCTTTGTTTCCTGAGACCCCGTAGATGCGTTGCAAGTGGCAAGGGGAGTGTTCATGCTGCTCCTCTGGTTTGATCCCATCAAAGGAGCTAAGAGGGTGCGAGTGGTGTAGACACCGACTCTGGCTTCAGCTGAAAAGGAAAGCACCTCCTAATGGGTTTCGGGAGTGCTTTGTGGAACCCCAGTTTTCAGCAGACCCCAACGCAAGACCACGTCACTGCCTCATGTGTTTCCTCGGCCATCAGAGCACCACTGTCCTGCCCTGGAACTGCCTGGTTTGGGTTGGTCTTTGCCCACTGGAGCCCTCCTTCTAGGCAGGGACCATTCCTCACTTGGTTTCCTGGGCCCAGCTGCTGGCATAGTGCCTGGCACACAGCAGGACTCACGTGTTCTGTGAATATTTGGTAAGTGAGGGAGTGAGTAATGGGTACGTGGTGTTGCATCTTCTCAGGTTCCAGGGCAGGAGGCTTACTTGGTGCTTGGTGCTGGTCCTCAGCCCTAATCCTTACAGGGAGTGTGGACTGCCTGTCACTCAGACTGCAGGTGGAGAACCCCTAATCCCGAACACCAAAATGAAAATGCTCCACAATCTGAAAAAAGTGCTTTTTGAGTATTGCCATGATGGCACACGTGGAAAATTTCATATCTGATCTGATGTAACCAGTCTTATATAATAGTATAGAAAATTCCCTTCGGGCTGTATAAGGTAAACATGAAATAGAAGTGAATTTCCTGTTTAGACTTGGGTTCCATCCCCAAGAGATCTCATTTTGTGCAGGTAGATCTCCCCAAATACAGAAAACATGAAACTCGACACGTGTAGTCCCAAGCATCTTGGATATGGGAAACTTGTTCTGAAGTAAACAACACTCCCTGGTAAGGGGCAGAGATGGTACACAGCCACCCCAAAAACTCTGAGGCTTGGGAACTAGCAGTTAGCGTAATGGCTATGTCGCTGGATTCCCACATAGTCAACTGTGGTTCGCGTCCCTGACCTGGTGGCTTAAAACTCACGCCAGGCGCGTGTTCGTGCGTGCCCAAGATCCCGAGAGGAGAATGGAAGAGAAGGGATTGTGGAGTGACCATCCCCCCGGAGGGGTTATTTCTCGCTTTCTGTCTCTATGTCTCTGTCTGTCTGGTGAGCACACACGCCCTATAGCGAAAACCTCTCAAAAAAAAAAAAAAAAAAAAAAAGAAAGAAAGAAAGAAAAGAAAAGAAAAAGAAAAAAAGAAAACCCTGAGGCTTGATACCAGCAGATGGTATAATAATTACATTGCTGAACTCCCACATAGTCTACCTTGGTTTGAGTCCCGAATCCGGCAGCTTAAAACTCACACCAGTAGAATGTGCGTGTTTGCTCAAAATCCTGAGAAGAAAATGGAGTTGAGAGATTGCGGCATGGCCACCTCTCTTGGGAGGTGATTTCTTCTCTCTGTCTCTCTGTCTCTCCAGCAAGCACACACGCCCTTTAGCAATAATTTCTCTTAAAAAAATAAAAAAAGCTCTGAGGCTCTGCGTGATGTAGGAGAGTCATAAAACCATCACAGAGGTGACTGTGTGCTTACAGACCCTTTGCTCCGAGTTATCGACAAGATTCTCACGGCATTGGGGCTTTGGAAGAATTATTATCCTTGAAATTTACGTTGAACCATGAACTCTGGAATTGCTGATAAGGACACCAAAAAGAACAAAGTATAGCTACCTGCATCCTGCCCACCATGAATTTTGGTCCTAAAGAATGAAGAGCATGTGGGGGTGAGAAGGCCCATAGGAGTGCATGTCTGTGCATGTGTGTATGTGTAAAAACACATGTAGTCATCATGATCTTGAGGAAGGATGGTGGTCCAGGGAAAGGGAACTCTGTACCTACTCTAACACGAGATTGAGAGGGGGCTGGTCACGATGTCCCACAGGACACCGAAGCTTTGAGGTTAGCAGTTTCTCTGTGATGCTCCAAGCTCATCCCCAAGCATGGGCGGCCAGGAGGTCTGTGGATGAAGTGTTG